ATAGAGACAGAAGGGAGCCACAGTGGTATAACTGAGAATTACCTCCACTCAGAGTCTGGATGGAGGAGTGAATGTGATTCAACTGGAGACAGCTGCTGGTGCTGCTATCAAGAACTTCAATGGAGCAGTTGGTTAGTCTTCCTCTTCATAAACTAACACACACTCACATTGTAGCCACATGTCTACTATTCTAACTCAGAACTGGTTTTCAAGTGCAAGCCCACGTACACCTATAGACCAGTTGGAGTTGCAGTGAGGCAGCACATCCTAGTACATCCTACCACATTAAAAGCCCTCGATTCTCTACCACGGTAGCTATAGCCTGTGTCACACCCTCCGCGAGCTACTAGCAGGAGACCGTGAGTAAACATATACTAATAGCCCAGCCCATCAATTAGAGGTACCACGCATGCGCAGTTCGCCGAGGGTTTGCACTTTAGTGCTTTTCAGTACATGAGTGCAAGCCCTCTTAGGCTTCTAATGCATAAATTCGACATGTGTGAAGTACCACATGCTGTGTGTACTGAGTAATACGTGTGCATGTCGACCATGCACACAGGTATCAATGTTCCTCGGAGTCGTTTCCTGCCAGTGAAGAAGACGTCGGATCTTCTGGTGGTCATGTCCAACCTGTTCCAGCTGAGAGACGGGACTCTGGTCCAGAACCCAGCCCGGCTCTACCCCGAACTACCCCTCGTCAAACTCGGAGAACACTTCTTCATGAAGGTGGGACACACTCCTCACCTCACCATGTAGCACCGTGGAAGTTGTGGCTATGTTAAGCCACTAGATATCACATCATGTGATGTTGTGCACACGTGTTCATGTTACCACTTTACCATAGTACTAAGTGTTTTGCTGTGTGAATGTAACTTCGTCGGACCATCTCACAGTGTCTGGTGACGTCACCTTCGGAAAAAAACGTCACTCTCAAGGTAATCACTGGAGCCTCTGAATGTGGGACCTCGAATTTTTCCTTAGAGGGGGTGTGTCAGTACATACAAAAGATCACTAGGGCCAGTGACATAGAGTTTGTTTTAGTAACCTTTTCCTTCTATACAGTGGAACGTCCGAACAAGGGGCACTATGAGGTCGACGATTTTGTCCCTTGTACAGAGGTCGTCCCTATCTCGCAGGTCAAATGATACATGGGGTTGAAACAAGTGTCCTTTGTAGAGAGTTCGTCCCAATCTCAGAGGTTCCCTTATCAGAGATTCCACTGTACTGCTTCAGTGTCCTTTTTGACCTCCAGAGTTTTACCTACATTCAACCAGGGCTTAATTCATTGGTGTGTGTCGTTACACAGGGCACAGTAATCATCATTGCTAATCATGGGGACAGGATCGACATCCCCTCTGGAGCCATGCTAGAGAACAAGATAGTGTCAGGAAACCTTCGGATCTTGGACCACTAGATTTTACTTTTCCTTGTCATTATTGACATCCAGAAGTGTATTTGTGACCTGGTGCAAAATGGTTTTAGAGCTGTGAGTAGATGTAAATACCAACCAAATGTTAGCTAAGTACTTGGACGCTAGATTGATATATTATACTATAGCCTGAGTTCAACTCAGATTCGCTTCTATTCTGCTCTTTTAAGTACACACCTGAGAACAGAATCAAAATATCTTTTTACATTATTAAATGTACAGGTGCATTGCTATGTTGTTGCTATGCATTGCTATGTTGTGCACAACATGTTTCATTGCTATGCATTGCTATCTTGTGCACAGCCAGTCGTAAAGAAATGATGTACTTATTCTTGCTGCTGTTTCCTACTTTCATCAAGTCTGGAAAGGCAATTAATACTTTTCCTTTTATAACATACAAAAGTTTCTCTGTGACCTGGTGATGGATATCCAGTGGTTTTTAGAGCTGTCTTCAGGTCAGAAGCAGAGGAGGGAGAGGTGAATACCAATGAATTTTAGCTTAGTGCATGGGCATTCGATAATGGACTGCCCATAAGATTCAACCTCTATTCTGCTCTTGATCTAAGCACATATTGGTATATGATGGTGTTTAGAGGTGCATTGCTATGTTTTTGCTAGAGCACAGCATGTAAATGCCATGATGTTATGATGATAGGCAATACCAATAATATATACTTCGTCTTGTTGCTGTTACTGTAATACATTCCTTATGTCTGGAAAGGCACTTAATACTTCTTCCAAGTCCTCTTCGTCTCTTCCATCATCAAAAGTCACCTCCAATTCCTCCAAATTCTTCTCTTTCAGTGTGGAGTTATGGTGTAGAGCCTGGGCCAGTACTCGTAGTCCACCGACCCTGAACTTACACCGGAATAAATAAAGATACTGCAGTGTAGTGGAGTTCCTGATGAATTGTGCCAGATAGTCTGCTGCTGTGTCAGTAAATGAAAAATATCCTACTAGTGTGAGTCTCTCCAGTGACAGTTGACTACTAGCCAATGCCATAGTAATGACCTCCGTCCCTTCTTCATTCACAGTATGACGCTAATGACAATTCCTTAAGAGTTGTTGCAGTCCTGATGTAACTGCCAACAGCCACACAATCGTTAATTTGTAGCGCAATACGTTCATTGCCAAGAGTTAAGGACACCAGTTTGAGGGGTGGTATTAATGTGTACAATGACAATTCTCCAGTCATTTGAATAACTATTGTTAGTATTCGTAGTGAGGAAAGGTCTGGCCATGGGAATTCACTGCATGGTACTGAGAGTGGTAGAGACAACTCATGAAAGTGAAGAATATTCTTCAACTGAATAAAAAGTTCAGCGATATTCTCAGTCTTAAGAACGGGATAGGTACATGCAAGGATCCACTTCACCCAGACCTATAAAACCCACTACTCTTCCACAAGTGTCAGACCTGAGTTTAGCTCCATTTACCAGGATTTCTATCATTTCTCTATCTAACGTGTCAACTCTACACATATCCAACACCCACTGACAGTCACTGTGGGCTATGCAGTAACCCAGAGAGTAGTAGTCCATTGGTAACATTGACTCGTCACTTGAAATTAATTGTTAATGGTCGAGTGCCATGTTCCAAATTGAGTAGTGAACTGATGTTTTTGCTCTGCGTTTCAAACATACAGTTTACAAGTTGACTATCAACTTCAATTTCACATTGATCGCTGTATTGACCACTTGTAGAAGTTAGAAATGTGTGTTGAGCACCTTCACGTAGAAAAACAGCTTAACTTGGTGATGCCAGCAAGAAATCTCTGCACTACATTTCAACCAACCATCCTCGTGTCTCTGGAAGTGTATCCGATTGGTCTGCTGGTGACATGGTAGAGATGTGGACTGCAGCAAAGAACTCCTGAAATGTCAGATGTAGGAAGTTGTGGGACGAGACTGTCCCACGAGTTACATAGAGCTCAGTGACAGAGTCCATGAACCCAAGATTGTCAAAGTCTGCTGGTAGCTCTGACTCTTTGAATATCAGCTGTACCTGATGTCTTTCCCCTACAATGCCTCTGTAACAAAGGTCAACATAGTTTCTCCGACCTACATATGGTCTTCAAAAGTCCCTTCACTTTCCCCTACGATGCCTCTGTATGCTAATTTCACACAGTTCAGTAAAATATCTCTTAACTACATGTGGGACATTCAGATCTTTAAAAATCCAATTCTGTGTTTATCACTGCCTTTCTCCAGCTCGGGATGACCATGTAGGTATCGAACTAGCAGTATTTGTGCCAGATCAGTGTATAGTTCAGTTAGTGTTGTAGGCAGAGGACACCCGCTGGCCTGTCTGTCCTGATATACTGTCACCACAATAGCACTGTTCAGAGGGATGTACATGCAGCCTCTGATCTGAGGACGATTCTTAACATAAGACTCCAGGTTTTTAGCTTCATTCTCAGGTAAGGCACTCTTTATATATTCTGATATTTGTTGAGTGGTAAAGCCCATTATCTCAATATGTTGGAGCAAACGATGCTTGTAACGCTTAAGAAACATTCCTGTAGCCCAAGGTCGACTGGTGACCATCACAGTAGCCAGCGGCAATAGCTCACCACATATAAGTCGAAGGAATATAGACTGTGGAGTACGACAGGTGTCTGGAAGCTCGTCAAACCCTCTAGTAGGATTAGTGTTTTTGAACCATGACTCTGCTCCAGATCAGCAGTTACTGCTTGACGTACATCTTCTGAATCATGCATGATTAGATCACTGAGAGTCTTGGCTTTGCTCATTCTCTCATCTCTGAGTCTGAGAAGTAGGACCAACTGGTACTGCTGAGATATCTCCCCTCTCTCCCACCTCCTACAGTACTCCCATGCAAATGTTGACTTGCCCACACCTGGAGCACCCTCCACTAGTACAACTTGCTCTAGACCAATATCAGGAATCCCAGCTGCTATTTCATTAAAGTCGATTGGCCACTTTTTGCCATGTACAACATCAACATCACCATATCGAACCATAGCCTTTGTCACCTCTTCGTATTCACTCCTTTGCCCACTAGTAACCTTACCACGGTCTATACATACCAGATTGATGTAGACCTTACTGGGAGTTGGGGGCCACTTTACAGTACGTGTATCTCTCTCTACCTCACTGGACTTGTACACTGTCCTCACATAGTCAATGTACTGAGTGACTAGTGGTGGTTTCCTCTGAATTGTAGAAGGCTGTTGACTGGGGAGTGGGCGAGGCTGGGGGTGTGGCCTCACTGGTGACTGTTCTCTAGGTCTCTTGGCAGCAGGGGCACCAGTCTCTGGGACATTGTGTGGGAGACTGCAGAAGTTGCTACTTGTGGAGGTGGGCCATGTTGGTATGGCAGAGGAAAGTAGGGATAGGGAAGGTTAGTAGGAGTAGGAGGGATGTGTGGGTATACTACATGAGACTGCTGTGGGAGATATTGTGGTGGGAGTGGATGATATGGAAATGGGTTGTAAAAGGGACCTTGGTTTAGGTGTTGAGGTATGGACTGTGGTTGAAATGCATGGGTAGAGGGTTGGTGTGTGAAAGATGTAGGGTGCTGCAGCAGGTGGTTGAGGATATCCAAGATGTTGGTTTGTCTGACTAGCTACAGCTGAGGTTTGTGGTGGAGCTGCTACTGTAGGGTTAGCTGCAGTGGGTACTGGTGGCTGCGATGGATTTGTTGGGCCACCTACAACAGACATTTCCTGCACATTGATAGGTGGGTGTGTAGTATGGTGGTGGGGGGTATTATGAGGTGGACACTGTTGCATGCTGTGATGTGGATAACTGTTGTATGGAAGACCCTGGTTGAGATACTGAGGATCTGAATGAGGTAATGGTGGAGGAGGAAGACCTGAAGTTGCTACTTGTGGTGGTGGGACATAATTGGTTTGTTGGTAAGAGGGATAAGGAAGGATAGTGGTAGGACAAGACTCGAGTGGGTTTTGCTGTGAGGGAAGTTGAGATGATGTTGAAGACAGACTAGTATCACTGTGTGGGAGAGAGACATTAGGTGCCTGTTGCTGGGTAGATGATAGCAGAGACTGAGACCTCCAATAATGAGATTCGGTCTTTTTGGCCACCCTGTGTTCACGAACAGAGTCGGACTTAAGAGCTGTGACTAAGTCACTCAATAAGAGAGGCTCTTCCTGGTTTAGTCTCTCTACTAGTATCTCCTGCAGTTGGGATTCACAATCATGTCTATTTTTCTCTATGTTCTTTATTTGCCAGTCTTTCAGTCCCAACTGTAGACCAAGTGCAGAGCATTTCGAAGCTACTGGAGTTAAAACATTGATAAGAGTTTGAATGTCTTTCTTAGACAACACTGGGTCAGAAGAATTCTCTGCCATCATTACCAATCTAATTGAGGGAGGAACATCGTACACAAAATGGGTGGTAAATACTGTGATTTTGAGCTTGATATATTACTCGTGTCATTATGGGATAATTGGGGCAGATCAGACACAACACACACAAGCCAGTTTGCACCTACATCAGGTTAAGGGAGCCCATACTTTCCATGGACACAAAACCTGAACCATAGATTTAAGGGACCTTTCAAACCAGTAGCAGATGCACACTTTGGGGATCATCTCCTTGTTACAAGTTAGGAGAGTGCATGAATGAAGATATATCATCCATGTTCAGGGCAGAGAGTACGTTTCGAATTTGACTAGCACCGTGTACCTTTAGCACAAGGACATCTATCATGCATGTGAACCAAGTTAGAATTCAGCTATTTAGGCCAATTTCACCCTGTGTTATGTTGGCAAAACATTTTCTACGTCTTATAATGGTCTTTAGTAAGGCCTAAAAAATTTCCATTCCAGCTGTGTAAGCGAGAAAACATTTACAACATACTGCTTACACTCATTAGGGCCTAATTTTTTCCCACTATACGGTATAATTATTATACTGACTAGAGCATCCAAAACCTTCACTAACTCAATGAGAGCAAGTTAAACTTGACTAGAGGCTTGTCTCACAGGGCCTGCATGCATATGAACCTCACTACACAGCACTGCCTTCAAAAACAGCACAATCAGCCTCTAAATACATAGGCAACTTGGCTACAAGACGGGCATGTTCACAGAACTAGGCTCCACCCACTAGATACAGTGGAACCCCTGAATATTAGGAACATTGGGACCAGGAATTTTGTCCTATATAATGGAAGTTGTCCTCTCTTTGGAAATTTTGGACCTATGCAGAGTGCCCTTTATCAGAGGTTCTACTGCATATACACACTTCCCATTTTACCCAAAGTTAGCAGCATTCACTGCTGGAGGTGACCAGTTCGTGATCCTGGTCATATCCTCTGAGACGTCCATAACAATTATAGGTAGTTGATGGTATGGAGCTTGCCATACAGGACCAGAGACTGGTGCTGCACTTATAGCTACAAGTTGGCTAACAACGGGCAAAACACAGTTCCAATAGCAGGCTTGAACGATTCTACCACTAGATTGGGGATGAGACTGCATCGTAACAGTAACAATATAGTGTCGTATCGGTAGTCAGCACTCCTTCGAGTTCAGGGTGAGCCACTGTCGGTCCTCCGCAACAAGTCCCGTGAGTGAGGCTGCTGTGATGAGACCGAGGATGAGACTTCCAAGGTAGGCACGTGGACAATTATTGCGGTCAGTCAGAACGAGTATTAGTCAGTATTAGTTCAACATGAAGCTATACTTACACCAGAAGTCAGCACTTTCCTCTGAAGTCGAGCCTAGCAAGACGAGAGTTTACAACTGCACTGTCGGCACTGCATGCATACATACCTCCAATACTGTGGTTATTGGCATCGGCACACATAGAATGAATTTTTGATCAGGTGAATCTAATTAACTATGCAACCTTGTCCTTCCCCCACCCAGAGGAGGTTCAAGTAAACTGCACAGGAATTCCAATTAGCAGGTGAAGGAATGCAGGGAATGTGCCACCGGGGTGCTGACTCCTAAAGCTTGAAATTCGGAGGATGCAGCAGAAAGCTCTAGAAAAGTACTGTATGCTTAGCTCAGTGATAAGTGACTATCGTGTACCTAGTGGCATAGATCGTCTAGTATTCAACACTGTATCTCACAGATAGAAAGAGTACACCAGGGTAGGGCAGCACATCAGTATCCTCTTTGAGTCAGATCTACCCCCATACAACCCTTTCTCGATACTCAGTTGGATTTGCCTCAGGCAAAGGCTTTGTTTCTGCCGTACATTCCCTAGGGAAGACAGGCTGCTGACTCAGCAAATATTGCACTGAGAGTCATGTAACATTGCGTAATGTTACAAATGCTCCTCTGTCCTACTCCCCTGCAGGACTGGCATGTTCACAGAACTAGTCTCCACCCACTAGATACAGTAGAACCTCTGAACAATGATGGACATTTGTCCTTTGATAGACATTTTTCTATTCGGAGTGCCCTTTATCATTATCAGAGGTTCTACTGTAGTTTTTACCCAAGGTTGGCAGCATTCTGCAACTGTGACAGGAGGTGACCAGTTCGTGATCCAGGTCATAATACTCCGAGAGGTATTAGCAGATATAGGTATGGAGGGTATTTACTCTTGACATACCTGTATGTGTGTGTGTCTATCGAGGAGGACTACTGGCTGAACAGACCTGTACTCCACCACTCTCACAGCAGTTTGTGGCTGGGAAGGAAAGTGAATCTGATTTACACTATGTGTGGTCACTCCTGGACACACTCACCACACTATCGATAGGCTCACAGGTGCATAAGCATCCACATACGAACCTAAAAGCTTAGAGCCTAGCTAATGTCTTTAGTACGGGTTTGTATATACCTACCATAGCTACCAATCTACATAAAATTGATTGAGGAAAGTTCACAATTGGGTTGCTTCCAAATTCCAAGTCTAGGGGTGGCCTGATGTTAGCTGTGGCTTTAAGAGACCACACATTTAATTAAGCTAGCCTTGTCTCACGGGGCATGCATGATGCATATGAACCTCACTACACAGCACTGCCTCAAAACAGCACTATCAGCCTCTAAATACATAGGCATCTTGGCTACGGGACGGGCATGTTCACAGAACTAGGCTCCATCCACCAGATACAGCGGAACCTCTGAATATTAGTATTAGGCACATTGGGACCAGGCATTTTGCACTTTATTTAGGTTAACAATGTGGTAGTATAATGGGAAAAGTGAACGCTTGGGACTTATATAAATTGAGTGAGTCCGTCTTTTATTTGGAGTGTCCTTCATCGTATGTTACACAGTATACCAGTGTTTCCCCCAACATTATAACTTCCAGGCACTGCGCCCGGATTGAAAATCCAGAAAATGGGCGTGTACAATTATTGCACATGCGTAAAAATTGAGCTAGTGCAGCTGTATTCTCAGCTTGACAGAAGGAAGTGCTTGAAAGGCTTCACTGATACAGGTAGCAACTAGATTTCCCAACAGGAAGCAGCCGTTAAAAATAGTGTTTTTAGACCAAACTCCTTGTTGCTAAGATTCTCTGTGTGGAGCCTAGCAAGCAGGCCAGTAGTCTAGGTCATGTTGGCCAGCCAGAAAGCCTTAGTTGCTGAGGTAATTAATAATTCATAAGCACATTGTTTAAATTATCCCCTGCGGGAAACACTGCTACACACACACGTCCCATTATTACCCAAGTATACACTACTGGAGGTGACCAGTTCGTGATCCAGGTCATATTCTCCGAGAGGTGTATACATGTATAGGTAGAATGTAGACACTGGAGGGTATTTATTCTCAACATACCTGTATTAGTGTCTATTGATGATAATTACTGATTGAGGAGTCCTTTAAGTCCACCACTGTTAAAGGCTGGAATTGGGTAAGAAAACAACATGTCTCTACATTCTACCCTAGGACCCACACTAGGGTGTAGACATCTACCAGACCCTCTACCCTCTCCCACACACATGTGCACAGAAGGAAGGGACTGGGAACCAGACTAAGTTGTCACAAGATCCTTTTTGGAAAACCGACCACATGAGTAGCACAGGAATTCCAATTAGCGAGTGGGGAATGTGTTGTCAGGGTGCCGGCCCCTAAAGTTTATCGCCAGGTTTGATAGCTCGAAATTCGGAGGATGCACTTGAAATCTTGCAGAAAGTTGTATATGATAAGAGTACTAGCTGTTATGCTTAGCTCAGTTATGACTATCGCCGTTTGGCGGATACCATGAGGGGGATACCATGAGGGCCAGGGGTATGCTCTTATCAGAATCCACCTGTCCTATAATAATATATAGACGTTTTGTATAATACGCGCTAGAGACAGGCTGCCGACTCAGCAAAAATGCACTGAAAGTCATGTGATATTGCATAACGTTACAATCGAATCGCTTCCAACCTCCTCTTTGCTCCGAGGAGAGCACACGGCCAGCCGCAGCCTTTGCGAGGACATAGTCACAACTTTCGCACAGGCGACCTTCCGAAATTTTGTGGGATAAAGTTTGTGTACGCCAATAGTGTACGATATACAGGAGAGAACCACACAAGAGACTTAGATGTGCTTCTGTTCATTCCCTTGAGTTGCAGTTCTTACCTCTAGTACCATCACCGATGACGATGCCGCGACGGGCTACTGTGCTTTCCGTGAAACACTTGTCTCTTGGTTAATGTCGTCGGCAGCAGAGGACACGCCCTATTGGAATGTCTGCGCACGCGCATACGTCTGGTATCTAGGAGGAAGAGTAGAGTTGGCTGGCTAAGGTGCAGTGAGGACCGAGTGAGGACACATTCGAAGACTTGAGGACATATATTCCCTAGTATGTACTCAAAGAAGCCAGAAATATATTCAAACTGAAAATGATGACGAGAAAAAAGCTAGAAGAATACATGATTCCCGGGGATGAAGAACCTAAAGAGGAGATTATCTTCAGCACACGACTACCACCCAAACCCAGACCAGACACCAGCTTTCAGAAGATCTGCAAACACCAACTGGGACTCAACCTCCGCTACTGCTCCAATTTCTACGGAAAGGCTGCGGCAGACTCCATATTCCAGCAGCTGGAGAGCCATCTACCTTCCTACTTCTCCAGTTCTCAGCAAACGGTGAGTCTGGCAGGACGGGTCCAATCAATCCCACGACGTCACGCTGCATTTGGAGACCACGGACTTTCGTATTCCTTCTCCGGTATCACCATGCCAGCCAACCCATGGATCCCATTGGTCAGTTCCCTCAGGGATCACGTGGGGGAGGCACTCGGTGGAGAGACGTTCAATTTCGTTCTGGTCAACCGCTACAGAGATGGGTCGGATCACATAGGGGAACACAGAGACAATGAACGAGAGCTCGTGCAGACAGCTCCGATTGCTTCTCTCTCATTTGGACAGCCTCGCGACTTTGTTCTCCGCCACAGAGACTCTCGAGGAAGAAGAGGAGGAGGAGGAGGGAGGAGGAGGGTCTAGTGGGTGTGTTGCTGGGGACCCAGTAAAGCTAGAGTTGGGTCACGGTAGTCTGCTTGTGATGTGTCCTCCAACCAACTCTATGTGGTTCCACTCCCTGCCTGTGCGCAGAAGAGCTCTTCATCCAAGAATAAACCTCACCTTCAGGAGAATGTTGGCAGGTCATCCCACACGTCCTCCACCACCCGACTGTCAGGAAGAAGATGATCTGTGAACATCCAGTTCACTGGCACTTCCCCTTTGAAAACCCCACACTGATTGAATGAGTGTGAGAGATCAGCAATTTGTGTCCCTGCCTTCTTCTCCAAGTGTGACAACTTTTATCTCATTATCGTAATTTTGGAGCAGGAATTTTATTGCGAAGTGTGATTTTGCATTTATTGACTTTGCCGTATGTATTGAACTCTGAATAATAATTATAATACAGTGGTACACCACACACACCTGTAATTAGTCCGGCATTCTATATATACAGATTGTTACGTCTTCACACATACAATACATAATAGATATAAAAAATCTTACACACAAAGTGATCACAGTTTCTTAACGAGAGGGATGGTCTCGATGTTTGGGTTGGCACGGCGACGACGCCTCCTTCCCCAGGTCACACCCCCAATGACCACACCCACCACCACCAGACCCATGTAAGCAGCGGCTGCAGTTCCGACGGTCACTCCAAAGATCTGTCCGAGACTCCACCCACTGGAGTTGTCTTACTCTGCTCCTGGCTGCTGGGGTCAGACTCGGCATTGAACTCTCCCTCTTTACCCTGGGACTGACGCACGGCCGCCAACCTCTCCATGGTACGATCAGTAAAGATGTATGGAAAATCCTGAAATGGAAATTAGTGACTTTATTCACTAGGAATGTTGACGGACAAACATGCTGCAGACACGTGGCACTACGCAGTAACAGAGCCACTCACTTCGTTGGGACAATCGATCACTTCGCTGTAGGGGTCCCAAGTTTCACTCTTCATCGTCACCGGGGTGATCTAACAGTCGAGGCAAACATAAAAACACATTTTCAAAAGGCACTTGTTAAATACATAAGTAGATATGTCAGTAGCTTCCAGCTTGTAATGTCAGCACAAACATAAAAAGAAGTAAAGTGCAAACCCTCGGCGGAGACACGCGTGCTCGCTAGAGAAGGGTTCCATGTCAAAGCAAAGTTGAGGAAGACCGACCTACACAGCCTTCTGTGAAAGGCTGCAGACAAGGTAAGCATGCTACCAAGTGAGGCACATCTTTCGCTGTGCATTTGCCATGTTTTTAGCTCCTTGCTTACCTCGTCTGCAGCCTTTCACAGAAGGCAGTGTACGTCGGTCTTCCTCAACTTTTCACCCGTGTCTCCGCCGAGGGTTTGCACTTTAGTGCTTTAGTGCTTTTCATTTGCATATTAGCTTGTTAACTCGGTTTTCACGTCATGAATACGTGGTATTGTTTGTGGAGGGATTTGATGGCTTGTGAAGTGAGATGTCGGGTAACAGACAGACAGACAGACACACACGACAACTACCGTACCCCTCGCTGTGCATGCGTGCCGAGGGTTAATAAGACAAGAAAAAGCTCACCATGTTGTTCCAGAGAGATATGGCAAAGGCACGGTGTCCCAAGGTGTTCATGTGGAAGCAGTCGAGAGCAAAGAATGACATGTCTACATCTCCATTCTCTTTCTACATACACAGCACGGAGAGCACATCATGTCAGGGAGATGACTGATACACTGACTGACCCGAGGGAGAGTTAAGCCCCTAAAGAAGGGCTGGGTGACCACCGCAAAATCATCCCCATCATTGAATGATGAACCGTCGAACTGTTCCACTAGTCTCTGGCGATAGAGTGGTGTGTCACAATTCACGATAGCTATATACAGACATACAGTGACTTCGATATTACCTGGTATTCTTTAACTCTCTCTCTAGTGTGCTCTTTATTGTCACCATTTGCACAATTGCAGGCAACCCTACAAAAAAAAGTGGAAAAAGAGCGCATATTATATAAAACGAATGAACCACCATAATACTACTTACAGACGAACAGCTCCACAGACTAAAGTAGTGGCTTCAGCTAGTGTAGCGACGTCCAGTATCAGAGGTATGTTCACCAGTGTTCTTGGGAGCTACGAGTGAAATATGCAAGATTAGAGTAGCAGCAATGGCTTTATTTTGACTCACTTCTCCTTTCAGATAGTCAACTGTTTCGTATATCCTATTGTAATACTCCTCAGGAGAAAATTTCTCATTCTGTGAGTGAAAACAGAGCCACTTAGACCATATATCTTATATACCACATTGTTCAAATAAATGCAGGTATGCATAACTAAAATTATGACATCGTTTCTGACTCTCACATTCTCTCGAACTCAATTGCTAGGATAATATACATACATACATTGCACTGTTGGCAGAGGTCATTTCCACCAATCCAGAGTGTCACCAACTTCCACTTATCCATCGCACCTGGCTATAATCAACAGATACAGATGGTATAAACAGTAGGTGAGCAGCAAGGGTAGACTTACCATTTCTTTGATCTTGGCCACCAGGTCTTCAGCCTGAGCACGAATCCCACTGTAGAGATGCATGGATGGTACATAAATAGTACAAGACAGTTTATCTTAGTATCCTTCCAACGTATTGGGAACTAAGCCAGTCTTAACACTTAACCGGCCACAGAGACATACATTCATGCAATTTATATGGGGTTATAATACTAGGCGGTAATACTTTATACACGATTTTGTGCTTAATAGCGGTTTTAAAGGTAGAATAGACACACAGATCGACACATGTATAACTGAAGGGAAAGTATATTATGCTCCATGAGCAGCAGTAGGCTACTTCCCTGGAACTGTGTAAGTTGTGGTATCTAAAATGGGGTGGGTGTGTGACAATTAAAAGTCTATTTGACTTCACCTGAGCCATCGAAAAATTGTCAAACCTTTAAAATTGCATCTAATATTAAAAACGCTAACCCCATTGCAACTAAACCATATCAGTCAAAAGTTAGCCAAGTATGCCATGGTGCCTGTATAAACAGTTTACACAACCACTTCCGAGGCTCAGATGAATGCTAATAGACTTTAGGTTAGGTAATGGACCAGAATGGCCGTGAACAACAAAGGACCTCACAGATTTTAGCATCGTACCAGAAGAGGCTGGAACCAATCAGGTGAATCGCACAAGAATTCCAATTGGGGGGTGAAGTAATGTAGGGCAAGTGCTGTTGGGGTGCCGACCCAGTTTATCACCACATGTGGTAGCTCGAAATTTAGATCATGTATTTGAAATCTTGCAGAAAGTTGAAGACTTTATGCTTATAACTGCCGTGTACAAAGAGGTCTTCTAACACTTGAACTAGCTACTATACAAAAGCCCAGCTATGTGTGGAATGTGGGTCAATCAACATCCACTGCCCACAATCGGATCACATTAAAGGCAGTGAACCAGAGTGTTTCCAAACACCACGTGCCACACTTCAAAGAGGACCATCTCAGCTCTCTGCCAGGCTCTGCCAGGCGTATAGAGTGTTAAGTTTGGACACAGAAGCAGTACACGCCCCGGTCTCAGTGGGCTCATCCCTCTGTATGAGGCTCAGGATTTCCTCTCACATTCAGATACTCTTTCCTTTTGCTACAGTATAAACATTCCCCCTCCTTCTTGACCATGTGCCACCTCTCTCTACTGTACCACTGTATATACCCATTACATGCACCAATCACTGGCAATCCTTGCATTCACCATCTTAAAAGTCAAAATCTAATCCTTTGGACAACACGGGTATCTTCTTAAATGAGCAAAAACTAAGTATAACATAACATCAAAACCCTGTATGATAGTTAGACATCGAGTCCATGAAATCTATGTGTGTTAGAAGCCCCGAGTGGCCCTCGCATTGTGGAGTTCCGACCGCAGCGAGGACGCTACTTGAAGGACCCGAGGGCTTCTAACATGCCCAGATTTCAACGGATGAGATGCCTAACTTCGCGCACTTGTTCTTCTGGGTGCGCAGGTTGCACGGCAGGCACTAAGTAAACACGATGCAAGTTACTACAAGATTAAGTAAACACGTTGTACCGCATGAGCGCATGCTAAATACATTTTGATGGAAGGCTCTCGACACATAGTATGGACCAGTGGTTGGTAAAGGGTTAAATACAGAGACTGACTATGGGTCAGTGGTTGAACACATTCGTTGGTAAAGGGTTAAACACAGAGACCGACTATGGGTCAGTGGTTGAACACATTCGTGGTAAAAGGGTTAAATACAGAGACCGACTATGGGTCAGTGGTTGAACACATTGGTTGGTAAAGGGTTAAATACAGAGACCGGCCCCTTGCCCTAGACTCTCACTCAGATTTGGCTGCAGACACAGCTCTGTTGAGTTGTGCTCCATCAGAGTCCTTCCCTCCAGTACCAAAGGAAGCTCCAGTCACTTCACTATTGAAGTATCTCAGAATATCTGGCAGTAGACAAGTTATAATATAGTTGGTATAAATAATTCCCAAGTGTTTCATACGTACTCGGTAATGTTGCACATGCTCTATGGTCTCCTTCATCGCCACCAATACTAAGAGAGAGAAGATGAGCACCATCATATGTAGGTAGCAAAATCAAGCAACGGTATAAAGTAACACATTTTACAACGCCCATTGGCACTATTACGTTGGCCTACACGTGCACACATCAATTGTACGCATGGGCTGAAACACACACCCGCGTATACTACCACGCGGCTCAATTCAAAGGGGGTCGGGTACCATCGACACATTGCTTGGGCCTAAATCTCGAAATCGAGATCTCCAATCAGATGGCAGAACGGCCACTCAACGTCACGTGCATCCGTAGTCTGCGGACTTCGGTAGGCGGGGCCTCGTATGCATCACATACTAGAAGAGAGGTTGATATACTACAGGTAATGACGTACTTAGGACCAGGTTTTTCACGTCCAAAATCAAAAAGTTACCAGACGCTCTTTTCCCCTCGTGGGTGGAGTGGCTGGATACGAGACTAACGCACATCAAGGTTAATAGCCACAGTACATTAGTCACGTGACATACGATAGCGCCCAATACAATGTACATATATACCTCCATGACACTCCTCTGGCCTCTTGAATGTAGTTCAAAATACTAGTAGATCTTGCAGCAAACCCAGCCTGTGTGCAGAAGCATGCGTTGTAGTAGACAGGAATAAAACGTAAGTAGAAATACATGGATAAATGTGTACAGGGGGTTACCCACATGTACCATGCCCTTCATAGGGGAGGGAGGGACAGGGAAGGAGACTGAGGTAAGCATGTAAACCGAAACATTATTGGCAGCAAAAAAGTCCACCTAGTAAAACATGCAAACATCAACGAGGCTGCAAGGCAAAGGCAGAACAAGTCAACTACACCCAGGACAACACTAATGAAGAGCTGCCCTGGGTGGGATTCGATCCCACGACACTCTGCAGTATAGGCAGTATAGGCAGAGCGCTCTTACCCACTGAGCTACCAGGGCAGCTCAGCTGCATTTATCTAATGAGATTGCTGTCAGCATGCACTAGTATCATGCAGAGGACTGGAACGGTCACGCTGTCACTAAGCATTTATTAACCCTCGGCGCGCATGCGCAGCGAGGGTTACTGTAGTTGGGTTCGTCTGTCTGTCTGTCTGT